TTCCTCTGCCTTCTCCAGCCTCTCCCTCTCTCTAGACAAACTATTGCGAACCAAATTGTTAAAGAACCCGACCAAAGGATTATCATTTCTCTCTCTATCCAGCTGCTTGAGTTTCCTATCAGCTCTTTTTTTCTCAAGCTTTATAGCAGCCTCAATAGAAGGATTACCCATGAAATTCTTGAACTCCTCATCACTTTTCCAATCAATTTCTTGCATCTTTTCTCTCTCATCCTCGTCGAATTCACCAACTTTAGATTCATTCTCAGAGGCATTACTCACATCATTTGCGGTATCAATAACCCTCAAATCATCTTTTGGGTCTGTAGTAGCCAGAGAAGTAGATGAGGGCTCGTTTGTATTCTCAGCTTTCACATAAAGGCTCAATCTTTTTAGAGAAAACTTAGGTTTTGGGCCAAATGGGTGCTTGGAAAAGGAAGAATAAGAGAATATGGATGATAAATGAAGTGGGTTCTTACCAAGAGCCCGTGAAGAAGAAGGAGAGAATGGTACTGAAGTGAAAATTGCAGACGCCATTTGAGCGTAGATGAGAAGTTGCTTGAGCTTGAATTGAATTGAGCAAACATGTTGTCGCGTAGCTTTTTTAGACGAGCAAAAATTGCCTGGAAAGTTGGAGGAGTTTCTCGAGTGTGTGTATGTGTACAGAAGATTTTGGCGCCCCTGTTGATTTTGGCGCCCCTGTTTTTAATTTGTGTGGACAGTGTAATGGAGAAAATTTATGTGGTCGTGGATTTATGTGGATAGAGATTGGAATAAAATAAAACATTTTTATTTTATTTAGCCAAGATTCATATTATTGTAACTAGGGCATAGCCCGTGCGATGCACGGGATGGTATATTTTCATGAAATGTTTAACGTGTGAAATATTAAAAATAATATAATTTATATATATGTAATAAAAATAAATGGATTGCAAAGAAGGAAAAAAAATATAAATTATTGAACACTTTCTTTGTGAAGTAAAATTTGTGAAGGTTTGGTATATTTGATTATGAATAGAAAAGTATGAAATACTACCTGCGGACCGTTGAGATAGATGAGAAGATTTACTTAGAATATATAGAATAAATATTGAGATAATGATTTACCTTTTACCTAGTATAGATAAAATAAATATTGACATGATGTGGGAAAATTATGACGAATTATGACATAAATTCGTTTAGAAAATATTCAAAAATTAGATTTATTTTTTGTTTTTTAAATCCTTACAGTAATTCGTACGCTCCTTTTCATATGCTTAATTTATCAATTTTACACATACAAATCAAAATTAATGCAACTCGAAATATTATATAACAAATAAAATGAGATTTTTATCTAACATTTAGTATATTGCCGGAAAATTTTTTATAAATCTTATTCTCTTTTTATGCACATAGATATTAAAGAATGAGTAAAAAAAATATCTAAATATGTTTAAAAGTATCTAATATTATATGTGTTAACAGTGTTACAACCAAAAGACATTAAGAATACGCAGACTATTATATAACATATGTGAAAGTATTAAAATATTTTATATTATTATTGAAAAATGTGAAATTACCTCAATTTTGTCTAGACTATTTTATAAGAAAAATATATATACTTAAAGTTAGCACACACATATATATATATCCTTAAAATTTGCCCAACTAACATGTTTAAAAGTATATAAAATTTTATATATAAAATACGTTTAAAGTTTACATATTTTACAAAAATTAGACTGCTCTCAGTTTATATAAAGTTTGTTGCTCTCATATTCGGATAATGTATTATGCATTTAATGAAAGCACCTACGATACAAATTTATAAATATTAATTAAAATAATTTTCTAAATTATATAAAATTGAAATAACAAAGGTAAATATTACCTGTTCATCATGAAAATGCGTTACAACTCTCCCGTTCGTGATGAGTTTCAATAATGCGGACTGCTCTCTCCCGTTCGTGATGGGTTTCAATAATGCGGACTGCTCTGAGACGCAAAAAAGGTTTGTTATAAATATTAATTAAAATAATTTTCTAAATTATATAAAATTGAAATAACAAAGGTAAATATTACCTGTTTATCATGAAAATGCGTTATAGCTCTCCCGTTCGTGATGGGTTTCAATAATGCGGACTGCTCTCAGACGCAAAAAAAGGTTTGTTTCTTTTGTTAACGTACCCAGTCTGGAAGCATTATATATCAAGTGTACCCAGCCTGGAAGCATTATATTGTATATGCGATGAAAAATTATTCTCTGTATTTTTTTTTTTCTCTGAACTCGTGAATGATGAGTTGTAATGGTGGTAGTGAATATCCTTTTATACAATTTTTTATTAACAAAAGTGATAAGATAATTATGGATTGTAATGATTTTTGGGATGCAACAACAAAATATGCAATCACATGTATATATCTTATCACGTTAAAGGTATATCCATCCCTAAAAAAAGGGAAATATATAATGCCTTAATTAACGGAATTTGTGTATTTTCGTAACAGATTTGCTTAATTAATGGGATCTGATACTTAATTAACGGGAATACCAAGTACATAATCCTATTCACGATTTTTTTTCTCAAAATTTGATTGAGATTACATAAATAGAAAGTCAAAAGTCAACTCAATTTATTTTAAGTTTCTAAAAATGATTTTTACATCAACCTTTTTAGATATATATAGATTATCTTATTTATCTCTACAACACTCTACCACAATTAAAAATAATAATTATAATTATATTTTTTTAATAAAAAATATTGTTCATTCACTTGCTTATCATTAATTAATAATTTATTGTTTTTATATAATATTAATGTAATTATTATACTTTTAATATATATTTACTCACAATTTTAAATTTATTACTATTTTAATTTTCGTCTCATTTTTTTGTCGAAACAAAAAGATTAAAAATAAAAAACTTACATAATGTAAGAATATATATAATATTGGAAAAAATGATTGATTGGATAATTGAGTTAGAGTGTATAAGAATGAATTGATTTAGGATTTGTGCGTGAATATGAGAGAAAAAATAATTATTAAAATTGATGTTATAAAAAGCAGTAAAATAAAATGAGTGATAGTAAATACATGAATAAATGAATTTTATTAAAAAAATTATACAAATGATTGATGTTTATAGTTTTCAGTTGTGTTGATAATATTATTGAAAAAACAGAGTAAATTTTTATATTTTTTTTATCAATCACCTATCTATAAAAAAAAAAAAGAGAAAATTTATAACCAATATCAATTTGCAATATCCAATCTGATTATGTTTGGTAAATCTAGGTGATAAACTAGCTGGAATAAAAATTTTAATGGATTTATTTGAAAAACTACCCAAAAAAAGCTTATGAGATAAGTTCGAGCTTGAAGTTTATGAGATAAGCTTGAGATTTCTAAACAAATTCGTCCTATCAAATTAAACTTATTTGAATGCAGGAACTTATAGGCTAATCAAATAAACTATAAGCTAACTTATATGTTTACTAAACACTGTCTTAGGAGTGTGTTTGGTAAGCACATAAACTAGTTTATAGTTTATTAGGTTAATTTTTAAGATTCGTGTATCCAAATAAGTTTAGTTTGGTAGGACAAACTTTTTTAAAAAGCTCAAGCTGATCTCATATTCCTTGGGTAACTTTTCAAATTAGCCCGTTGAAATATTTATTTCAGCTGGCTTATCAACTAATTTTAAAAAACACTTTTATCTAGTTTTTCGGCCACAAGCTATCAACTATAAGTTTGAAATTCACTTAAGTAATCAACTAGCTTATCAACTGGTTTTACCAAATATGACCTAAATTTATTTACTACATTTTTTCCACTTTTATTGCATTTCCTTTGCTCTTCGGTCAACTTCATCCGATTAAAAATATCACTAAATTCGCGGATTAAAAAATATATATTTCAATTTATTTTTTTTGGTAACCATAAGAATTCATAAATAGAACACATAGTTACATCTAAAAATCAGCTAGTAGCAGCTGAATCGGACAACCACACAACTGAATATAGTGGAAGGACATCCCCGAGGGGAGCCTAGACTACTACAAACGCACTCACGAGAATAATACTATTCCACTTGTTGAGAATGCAAGCTCCCATGAGAAGAATAAAAACACCCAAAGCAAAAAAACACCCAAAACAAATAGAGAAAAACATGTAGGACACACAAACAAGACAAAACAAAACCTAACATAATACATAGAATACGATCCTCTCCACCAGCCAAAAAGCTCGACCCAGGATGCGGATCTAGAAACTTCCTTAAGGGTATGTTTGGTTCAACGGAGGGAAAGGGAGGGGAGAGATTTTAATGGAAGGGAGGGAAGGTGAGGGGAGGGGATGTAAAATAATTTTACCTTGTTTGGAGGGATTTTGTAGGAGGAGAGGTGAGGGAAAATAGTAAATCTTGTTTGGTTAGAAAATGAAAGGGAAGAAAAAATAATATATAATTGACTATTTTGCCCTTAATGATATAAGAGATAAAACAATAAAATAATCTTAATATTAAAGATAAAAAAGTAAATTTATTTCCTCACATTTTCTTTCCCCTCCAAATCCTCCCAATTTTGGAGGGGAGCCATTTTTACTATTTGGAGGGATTTTAATTCCAAATTTTCCTTTCCCTCCCCCTTAAAAAGTTGAACCAAACAAGTGAATCATAAAATTTTCTTTCCCTTCCCCTACCCTCCCCTCTAAAACCCCCCAACCAAACACTATGTAAAAGGACGACTAACTAATGTTGTAAACTATAATTGTACGTGTAGCAGCGTNACATCTCTCCCTTAAAAATAGCACCAACTCCTCATATTTTTCTTTTTTTCATCTTTATCCTCTTCGACAACCCATTTTTCTCACGAAAAACTTTTCCCTGAACACAGCATTTCCTGAAATCCTATCCAAACCCTAACTACTGTAATTTCTCGATAAAATTCACAGTTTCATCTACTTCTACCTTTCTCCGTGTCGCAGTGATCGGATTTCCCGACGACATGAAGCTCAGGCTGAGATCGTTCGAATCCAAAGAAACCCTAAAAATCGAAGTCCCAAACACGTGCACGCTTTCGCAACTCAAGCAAATCCTTGCTCAAGCCCTCCCCAATTCGCCGGCCTGCGATTCAATCCGACTGTCTCTCAATCGGAAAGACGATCTTGTATCCGACGACGACAATCCCCTCCGATCCCTCGGCATCGCCGCCGGCGACCTTATCTATTTCTCCCTCGAACAGCCGGCGGCGCGTATGAGCTCGAATTCCCAGAATTCCCATCGTCTGCGCACCGACTCAACGATCTCGAATGCTCAAAATGTCCTTCCCGAGGTCGAGAATTCCGATTTTACTGTCTCAGGAGCGGATTCGAAAATGAAAGAAAATGTAGATTGTGGTTCACAGATGGAGGTAGATATGGAGGGCATGGAAGTTGATGAGGATGATGATTGTGTGGATGAGGCTGTTGATAAGTCATTTTCTGTGCCTGGTTTCTTGAGGAAGGTTTTCATGGAAGAATTAGGCGATGATGCCGGAAAAGATCACAAATTGATCATCATCGCCATTCACGCTGTTATGATGGAGACTGGTTTTGTAGGTTTTGACAGCAATGATGACACGGTAGTCAACGGTTTTCATTTTCATGGTAACGGGTGGCCTTCGAGTCTGTTTAGGGTGTCCTTACATTACACTCTGCAAGAAAATCCAAACCTTAGCCCCACAAAATCTGGTAAAAGCATTGTGTTGAAATTTCAGAGCTTGGGAAAATTCATCAATGTTTATGGTACGCTAGAAAAGGGGAGGTTGGGAAAGAGAGGCACTTATCGTGTTCAGTTGAATGAGGAAAAACTTGTCCCATTTCTGAACGTCGTTTGGGCCAATATCAGTGGAGAGGACGTTGGTAAAATGGACCCATCCCCCGAGAAAGAGGTGTTTGAATTTTGGAGGAACGTGAAGGATAACCTCGCTTTACCTCTGTTGATCGATTTGTGTGACGAGTTAGGTCTTGAACTCCCTCCGTGTTTTATGCAGCTTCCAACTGATCTCAAGTTGAAAATCTTGGAATATTTGCCCGGTGTCGATATAGCTAAAATGAGCTGCGTTTGCTCGGAAATGAGATATCTTGGATCGAACGAAGATTTGTGGAAGTTGAAATTTGTGGAGGTTTTTGGGGATGAAGTGAAAGAGGCGCAAGGGAGCTGGAAAAAGACCTTTGCTAGGTTTTGGGCCGGGCAGAAAAGTAGGAAGGTTGGTAGAGCAAGAATGACGCCGTTTTGGCCCGAGCCATATTGGGCTCAGCCCAGTAGGAGAAGGTACCCTAACCCTTTTATGGTTGCTCGGGCTCCAAGAATCATTGGGGGTGATTATGACATATCGCCCTCATTTGAGGTGGGTGGTGGTAGGGTATTTGGTGCTGTAAATCGTCGATCTCGGAATTTTTCACCACAATGTGATTTAGGGGTTCGAGGTGATAGGTTTGTGTGAAGGTGGTTTTGTTATGTTTGCATTATAAGTTGATGGTAGGGGGGAATTATGTGTAATTTGGCCTGCAATAAGTTTGTAGTTGAGTATTTTGTTTGGTGTCTTTGGGTTTGTATGTAGTTAGGTTGCCATGTTTTGAGTTATGTAGAACTTCATGTTCTTTCACTTTTTCTGCTTTGTAATGAAAACATTTTATGTATATTGAGCATGGATTTCGGTTCCAATTAATACAAGTGATTCTGCAAACACTGAGTTTTGCCTTTGGAGTTTTGGGGAATTTGGTTCTCTTTTTTTTCAATTAAAAATGGGGGGAGAAGAAAGAATGCTTAAATGTAATCTTCTTCTTTATTAGCAATCAATTAATCATGTGCAGACTTGTTTTTATCCTGAGCTGATTGTTAATGTTTTTGCCTGCTTAATCTTAATAAGTGGTTTTGAACTGGTTTTCTAGTGAACTATTATGAATAATGCATGAATCTTCCAGAGTGTTCACATTAGGAAAACAGCAATCAGAAAAGTAA